AGCACATCACAATCACATAACAGAAACGAGGGGCAACATGCATGATCACAATATCTAACACACACGCCACATCCAACACAGACTAGTGTGTGTAGGTGTAGTTCTCACTGAACCATGTGTTCACCGTGTTATATATTCCAATTTATGGCGTGTTTTATCATAATTTACATGATGCCTGTTTCAGTGTGAACTCATGCAGTCATATTACATGTTTAATTATTGCACAAATGACAAACAAAATATTTGATTTATGTGCATATTAATGTGTCTGTATGATCCCAGGTCTCGTCTGAAGTTCTCCAGTAAAAGCATCCCCTTTATGAACGGCTCAGACATTCGACCTCCGCTCTTGTTCAGTTGGGACCAAATTAGCACAGTAAGTAGTGTAACTAGCATGCACCTATTTGACATTTAGGTAATCAAATTCCTTTTTGGCTTATTCATTTAATACTTTCTCCTCTCTGCTCTCAAAGGTGTTTAGCGGGATGTCTTTTGGAGACTTGCAAGCGTTTATCACTGATCAAGAAAAACTGTCTGTCAGAATCGAATCAGAGAGGGAGGGCAGTCCTGTGAGACGAGAATTCGGAGGTGATATTTGTGACCGCATGAGAAGGAATCACAGTCAGGAACCTGGTAAGAAAGGAGCTTTCACTGTGATTGATCTCAAGTTCAGTCAGGTTTCTAGTTGGCACTCCATGTGTCAAATCGGCTGTTGGTATGTTTAAAGAGATCAAGGACAGACCTGAAAAGACAAACAAAACTAGACACCCTATCATCACAGTCACACCCAAACAACAATTACAATTTAAAATAAAGGGGTTCTACTTAAATTGATTAAATCAAACATTTTATTATCTAATATTAATTTTCTTATCTAATTCTACTAGTCATTAGAAAAAATATTTTTTTTGCCAGGCTTATGGGTTTGGTTGTGCAAGTGCGTGTGTGTATCGGTTTGTCCATCGACGGATAATCTTGCATACCACTCGTCCCATCAGCCTAATATCTTTTGTGAGAATGCATGACCGTACGCTCAAGGAGATCTTGTGGTTGTGATGGTTATCATTTGTGGTTGTCAATCACAAATGATTGACAACTGCTTCAGTAACAAAAGGAATATCAGACCATTGGCTAGGCTTAGAAAAAACTCTTACCTAGTCTTTTACTTTTACATTTTGGCCTTTGTCTTGGCTCAAAAACTGTCATTACTTGAAAAGTCTGACCTTGAACCGGATCTTTTCCAGATTAATTCAATACCCGAAATGTAAGAATTCACTTAAATAAGGCACGATACAAGTTGAATAAATCCCTGCTTTGTAATCTTCAGTGGGGAAAGGAAGACGCACCTGGCGGTTATCTGCACTCTACTGAGTGCACTTTAGTTATCTACGCAATCATCATGTCCTTTTCCTGTGTCTGCTTAACTCTACCGGTTTCAATTTAGTATCTCTCCACGATTACAGCAGGAATAACTGATTGAAACTGGCTTGTTCCATATTCACAAATCAGACTCTTCAGACTGGGTTCATATTTTGAAAGCCCTTGTCATGCTGGTATAGCTTAAGAGACAAAAAGCAATGAATGTGTCTTAGTGTTTTATTTTTCCTTTCTCAAAAGCCTCCATTAAACACCAAACACTGACATGGGTTAAAACTAAACGGTAAAAGTATAGAACGCCAAACAGTTCACAGCGTCTTTCAATAAGTGACATTAAGATTTTAAATCAACATTTAAATACTCCACATTTGAAGGCTACACTGTCAATTATGACTTACCACTTTTTAGTGGTTCAGTTGACTAATTCCTTGTTTTGGTGTTAGTCAACAAAGATTTATTGAGTCTCAAATCATTTGATCGATTAGTCAACTGAGAAATTGTTTGGACAAGGACAGCCCTAATATTATTACACTTTTTGTAAATATATATTCCGGTGGTGAATGCATTGTTCCCCTCTCCTGTGATCAAAACATTACCCTCTGAGTGGAAGGAATGTCCAAAAGTCAAATTCTATTGAGAAAAGGACAGGTGTTATAATTTCTAAACCCTGCTCTACCGCTTGTCGCTCAAATGGGAGGCTATTGTAACAGGCTATTACTGTTTGTTAGACACAAAGATTTGGGTGATGACATCAAATCTAAACCTTTATTCGAAAAAATCTCCATAGAAGCTTTGAATACAAAAAATGGGTACTGTGTACAGCCCTTAAAAAAGCACTACACCTACATGTAGGGACAAGTCAAATAGAACCCCATGTTCAGTTCACCCTGAAGTCTACAGCGCTTCATGCAACTTTCCAGGTTTGCGGGTTGGTGTGTCTCTAAAGGATGCCTCTCCATACCATTGGGGGATCGGGTTTTTCAGGACATTCACACCACGTACCCTGAAAATCTCTCAGACTATTCATGTTTGATTCTTTAAACCAACAGGAAACATTAAAGAAGTACCTTGCTATTTCCCATTGCCCTCCTATAACATTATGACATAAAAAGCAGCAGAACAAGATATATTTTATTTTTTTAATTACACACATAATTTTTTTCCTTATGAAGTGAACCCCTGCCCATTGTTAGCCCTAACCTTATCCCTTAAGGTCAGCTGTCCTTAACTAGATTGTATCTCACCATCCACCATATTGCATCACGTATCATCACTACTATTCCATCTTTCTCCATCACAGGGAATCTCCATAGGAAAAATGCATGATATCATTAACGTCATATGGGAACTATCTTTGCATTGCTAGACATTGGAATTCAAAACATTCAGCGTTTAATTAAATCCAAATTGCATTTCTTCCTTGTTAGCCATCTGGTCATTGTCATTTTGAAGGACAGATTCTTTTTCCAGACAGTCAAGGTGAATGAGAAGTGAATAAGCGCGTGGTCCTGACCAGACTCTGAAATGTTCCACTATAAAAGTTAATGGACTGACAGTTTATTGAGAACTAATTGGATGCTTTCACATCAGATGTATAGATGTCTGAATACCTCAATGTTTCAACTAGTGCATTTTCAGTATGTTGAATCTTTAAAAAAAAAAAAAAACGTATTCCGTACTAAAATATTCCAAAACTACAGTTCTTTTTTTGGACTGAATTGTAAAACTCATATACCATGCACTCAAGCTTGAATGGAATTAACTTCTGTACAGTTAGGCCACTTTTATAACGCAAAATACGGATGAATGCCTGGAAGTAATACAAATACAAATGTTCACATTTAGAAATACAATGACAGAAATCTTGTTATATAACATTAATTGTCCTAACGTGAGCATTTAACTGGAGAAGTTTCATTTTGATATCTATTAGATCAATCTTAAAACTACATATTCCGCAGACGGCAATCCTCCTTCACGTCGAAAGGAGCCAGTTTAGGTGGTTCGGGCACTTAGTTAGGATGCCATCTGGGCGCCTCCCTAGGGAGGTGTTCCAGGCACGTCCAGCTGGGAAGAGACCGAGGGGTAGACCTAGGACCAGGTGGAGGGTTTATATCTCTTCGCCGGCCTGGGAGCGCCTTGGGATCCCCCAGTCAGAGCTGGTTGATGTGGCCAGGAAAAAGAAAGCTTGGGGCTCTCTGCTGGAACTGCTACCTCCGCGACCCGACCACGGATAAGCGGGAGAAGATGGATGGATGGCAATAGAAACACATGATACATCTAGATTTAATGAAGAGTGGTTGAGTGCAATAATTACTCTTAGCAGAACCAGCAGCTTCTCAGTGTGACCACATGAGGGCAGTGTTACTAAATATATGAAGCTTATGATATTACTGGTCCTTCATGTTCATCAGGTGCAAACAGAATCAAAATACCTCTTTAAACAGATTACTTATGTTAGGTTTGAGATATACATACATGTCCCTCCATCTGTCTACCAAGTGCTGCTTTTGCATGCTAAACCGACATACAGTATGTTGAGTATGATATTTGAATGTAGAAAAATTATCTTTGTCTATAACAAAGTCATTCTCTTGTAATATTGAGTTTCTAATTTGTCTTGCATTTTGTGGTGTAGCCTCTGAGATGGAGCTGGCTGAGGTGGCTCTGAACATCCTGTGTCTGCTGATGAAGGAGCAGTGGAGGTGGTTGTGCACCGAAAACATTCAGAGGACCATCAGGCTGCTGTTCGGGACCCTTATCAACAGGTGACGTGATACATTTGTTGTAGAATGCCACAAAAAGTTACTATAAGTAAGGTTTTTACATTAGGGAGAGATACAGAGACACAAAAACATTTTTAAAGCTTGGATAAGTAACATTGGAGAAGCCAGCAAGAGTAAGTTTGATTTTAAAAAATCAAAACAATACAGCCTTATGTTTCCAACTTTTTTCCAAAGAAAGTTGCAATGAGCACAGGTTCCAGTATTCTTGCAAGAAAATAGCAACACCGACTATATTCAATAACTATATGACATATAGACTTTAGAAAGTAAAGAACAGTTAAGATATGTTTGGCAATGCAAGATGTTGATTTTTGATTGTATCCTAATCTTAAATTATCCAAAAGGCTTTATTGACGTATTCAAATCGCTGACATATTTTTATAGGGAATGCCTCCGAACCCTCTTACCTGTTCTTATCTTTGTATTCACTTCTCTACGGCCCCTACACAATAGGGATGTCGCAAGAACCGATACTTGGGCAAATCAATACCAAAATAAAAAAAATGTAACTTTCTAATGGGATCAGGTCTTGAGACCAACGGTATCGTATTGTCCAGCCTAAACTCACTATCCACTATCTTTCCTGATAAATCGACATTGTTAAAAACAAATTTGTTGAATTTGGCAGGACCAGAGCTAGTTAACGTTAGCTGTTAGCTGTTAACTGTTAGTTGCTAGCTGTTAGCTGATAGCAGCCGGCAGTAGCTCTATTGTGTAAAACTCTGTTTTAGGTGAAGGTTAATTATAAAGTCATTAAGATGTGTTCAAATATAATTTTGTGAAATTTAGTTTTTAGCTAATCTTGTTCAAGAAGATATTTTCACGGCAATAAATAATAGATTCAATAGAGGGAACTATGACCTTTTAACTTCCCAGCAAAAGAAACAAGATACAAACGGTAATATGTAAGTGTGTGGTGAAATACAGTGATTTATCGGAAATGTTTCTTATGGTGGTACTTAATTGGTTATCGAGAATCATGGAATTTCACTGGTATTGGAAGCAACTAATACTGTAAATGTTTGGTATTGTGACAACCCCATTTTTTGGACTTCGCAGGTCTTTTAAAAACACTTTGGTTGAGTCATAATGACACTTTTATGGCTATCCACTTGTACATTTTGTTAATCCTAATGATAATGGATATTATTTATGTAATATTGCTGGGACACAACTTTACTTGGAAAATGCAGACAATTTCCCCATCCTCATTGACTTATTATAAGCAGATACTGGTACCAATTTGAAACCTACTAATATAGATCTTTCCAAGTGAACCTGGCTGACGCTGCCACAACAATGCAAATCATTTTTCTCTCCCTTTAACAGCAGTAGCCTCTGGTTGACTCTGTCTTCTTAAAGTACTTTTACGAGGTTCTATGCTACGAGCTTTCGGCTGCTAAGAAGTGATGGAAATGTAGACGTAGTGGGACTTTGTGGACTCAGCCATTTCAGGACATGAGAACAAATGGTTCCTAGTGGAGATTCCACAGAGAGGACTTTTTATGAGCTGGAGAGGGGACTCTGGCTCATGTACAGTCGTTAGTCAAGAGAGTTGATATTCAGGCTTGGCCACGAGTCTTTGCAGTGGTCCGTGTTTTAAAAGGAGCATTACTTGCCATGCACTGTATTAACCACTTTACAGAAACGAAAGAATCAGAGAACTTTGCTCTTGCTAAACAGTATGTGGTATTTTTATTATTACACTTGTTGTTTAATAGTTTATGTGCATACGTGCATGAATGCTCACCTATTTGGCACTATAAAGAATGCCTGACAGCAACTTCCCAAACATTTGTCGCAGATAGGTATAGCTCTGACTGCCAGTAAACTGAACATGCAGACAATGTTCTCGGGTTCTAGTGTTTGTGGTGTCAGTGCTGTGACCTCACGTTCCCCGGAGTGTCAGTACCGAAATATCGTTTCTTCACATTGATACTGGGCCCTCTATTTTAAGAAGTTCCACCAGCCAAGTATGAAAGGCCTTTTGTTTGGTCTTGTCTATATGAGGCTGCTGTCTGTCAACATTGCATTGAGAGCTCTCGGTGTGGCAGGTATCTCCTCTCATCGTCTGGTTTCTCTGCGAGAAGGAGACAAGATGCTCTGGACGGCCCTTTACAGAAACACTACCTATGCCGTTGTGTCACTAAAATAGCTCTGTTCATGTATCATTTTTCAACAAAGTTTAAAACAAATGCGGTATTATATGGTAAGAACATGAAGAGTACAACATTAAATGTAATAGAAAAGCAGCATTTGCTTGTTTTAAATCTAAAACAATATAAAAAACGGCCATTGAAGCAACAATGGACACCTTCCGTTTCAGTCCCGTGATATCATTGGGCTCCAAATAACTTTTTGCCATTTACTTTATTTGGAAAGACACTCCTGTTGGCATACGCTAAATGAACTACCTTGTACAAACAACCTAGTTTGACAACCTAAAAGTTGTAAAATGTGCTTAAAGCCAAATCCAAAGCTGTTTTCAGTTTCCAATCGTTTGACAAAACAGAGACCGGACGTGATGCTGTCGTGAGGGTTTGGTTTGGAGGCGGGGTTTAAGGAAAACGTAAGTGACCATGCTCTATGGGCCCAATGATGACAGAATATTTCCGGAAGGTCCAGGAAAGTATTTTCAGGCCATTTTGTAACTCACATAGTAATGAACTGGCCTCCAACATTGTATTCAGTTCTCTTTATACATCCGTGGTCTCGACCCACAACCTTTGGGCTTAAGCCATGATTTACTGATGCTTACTAGAAAATATGCCTTTTTATTTTGGGATTTCCTCCATTTGATTAAGACATACAACATATTTTGGGTCCAATTCAAGAAGAATTTTAGCCTCTAATAAAAAATGCTTTTAGCCATGCCAGCGTGACTTCGAGGGTGAGAATAATGGCTGGCCAGTTGATCTATCACTCTGGTCCAGACTGATATATCAATGGATTGCTTTGGAGTCTGTCACAGACACTCATGACTCCCAGTGGAAGAATCCAAATGACTTTGTCGATTCCCTGGAATTTAATTTGGGACCAGGCCCGCCCCTCCCTACACGCAGATCACGCAGACTGCGGAGGGGGCCTCATCTTGCGGAGGGAGCCTCAGTTGATGCGCAAATGCGGCGCGCTTATGCGCAAATACGGTGCAATTAAGCGCACCACAGTTTGGGCGCTCACAGTTCGCGCACGTGCTACGCTAGCACCCCCGTCGACGCTCGCGACACAGAGGGCCTCATCACATAACTTTGAGTGGGGCCACAAGTTGGCCAGGGCCAGCCCTGTCTGGGAACATCAACAGCTCAAAAGTGTAAAATTGTAACACTACAGATTCACACTCTGATACTAGTCACCTCGGTGGTGAAACAGAACAACACAAGTAGCAACCACCTGAATTTTTATTCTAACATGGAATCCAACAGCACTGAAGACTTTTGGTTAGAGAGCCTTCATTGTTTCAGTTTTGGTCAGTGATTTCTTTTAATAAATTGATCCACACAATAGGATCCATACAAATCTTAATGTTTTTTAGTGGGACTAGCAGTTTATTTCAAGTGCTGGGAAGTTTATATTTGTTCATAATACAATCTGACAGTTGTTTGGTGGGAGACAAGAAGAAGAAGCTGCAGAGAGAAACCATATCTCTCTCTCTCTCTCTGTGTGTGTGTGTGTGTGTGTGTGTGTGTGTGTGTGTGTGTGTGTGTGTGTGTGTGTGTGTGTGTGTGTGTGTGTGTGTGTGTCAGGTCTGGCTGGAAGAGCCGGCTCTGTGCTCCTATAAATGGGGTCCAAGGCAAAGCTCTGGTTTGGGAGATGTCTGAGTTTTATGGACTGGAAAGTGGGAAAGTTTAGGATGAATATAGTCTCTTTCTCTTAGACAGCAGTCTGGATGGAAAATCCAGATGGAGCCAGATTGTTGTCAGTGTCTAGATGTAGCAGCCACTCTATGTGAACATCACCAGCATTATTATGTTCTGGTTTTAAGTCAAACGTAATGCTTCCTTCGTTTGCCAAATAAAAAGGTTTATCAAAAATCACCTCGAGTTAATGCACTTGCGTTTAATCTGTAAACCCGTAAACATTTATATCGCTTATTATTAACGTTACCAATTTGACCCCACTTTTGTCCTGTAGAATGTAATGCACTGACTTGAGTACATCATATTTAAAAAATATTTTTTGCTAAAAGATGCTCTAGCCAGTTTCTTCAAATTGTACTGGAGGAGATAGGGGGACACAGTCACCATTGTGGGAAAAGACAGTGCGCGCAATATGTTAGCATCAGTAAGAAAACCCCCCATGATAAATGTTCCGTTTAGCGTACATTATACAGAGGGGAATCACAGCTGCTCTCCGTGACTCTGGGTCTTCATGCCAATAATTCAGAAATCATCCAAATGCAACTCAAATGTTATAATGAAGTACAAAATCCTCTACTTCCTCATACCAGCTTGTCATCCATGTCTTCACGTGTATTTGTTTACAACCCTGCCCAAAAACAGAACCAGCAAATACTAAACGCAATTAAATTATTTTATCCATTGACACGACTACCAATAATACAAATAAGTCAATGAAAGATTCAGAGGGCTGATACTTATGTCAGCCTTTAAAATGTGTGATGTAATTTCCATAAATGCTTGCGTGAGTGTTTAGGTTGCCCGACTACAGAATGAAATGCGCCCTCAGAGTCTCTGATATTCACTTACAAGCACCAGACAACCCTGGCTGCAGCGATGCGGTGGAGAAAGACAGTTAGTCACAATGATGATAGAATATAATGATTGTAATTAATCTTATTGCATCCAGTGGTGCAGACTTTCTTGGAAAGCTGTTTTGCCATTGGCTGTGGTTACCAACACATTAAGTTTGGAACATTTCCCTTGAGTGAGTTGACGTCATTCGGGCTGATGGACGGACACATTTACCACTCCAACTTATTGGAGAGTCCACCTGCTCTACAGTGCTGTTGCTGTCTTTGTTCT